AAAACATATAAATAATTGAGTCATGACGCAATTATTTTTGAAGATTTTGGGAATTGAGTCAATAGCAAAATAATTTATACCATATGTATAACCTGGACATTTGAAAACATGTTGAATATCTTCAGTGCGGAGTTCGCATCATGGACATAGAGTATCTGGATATTGGTTAGAATATAGTCGGTGGAGTATAAGGCAAGTTAAAAGAGTTCCCGAGAGCAGTTTAACTCTAAAGGCTACTAGGGTGCTGTACTTGTTGTTATGGAATTTTCTGATGTTTTTGTTGGATTCGTTGATGACTTTTAGACTGTGCAGGGTATATGTTTGTCTAAATGTTTGGACGACTGAGAAGCTTTCACATATCATATAGTCTCTAGTGATGCTGAAAATTTTTTGCACTATCTGACACTACTACCTAAGCAAGTATTGTTGATTAAAGGATTTTTAGAAAAGTGTAGTGGGAGATTGTTCTATTGAATGGTTCTGGTTGATATTGGTCTGAATTTAGGTTTGATATATATAATCTCTATGGATTTCTGTTGTATACTTTGATTTATTCTCTGGAATAGTGAGGAAAAGTTAATTTTGACCATTCTTCTTGAGTATTCAGATACTGATTGAAGAATTTTTTTGTTGCTTCTGATTTCGATGGTAGTGTGAGCTGGAATTCCTTGAATGATATCAAAGATTGCCAGTAGAATGTTGCCTGGTGGTAAGCAGAAGTTAAGTAGTCTTATTTCGATTTTATTTATAAATAGGTTACTTTTGTGCAATTGAATATGGTAATGTTGCTGCAGGCCGAGATCTTGTAATAATAATTGGGAAGGATGATTGATAGAAATATTAACTTCTTGAAAGATATGTTCATTATTAGGAGATGAGTTGACAACTTCATCGATTATATTGAGCAAGCAATATTTGAATCTGTTGAAGGGATTAAAAGAAACCTATAGTGTGAAGGCTGATATGCTCGTGAATGGTATCCAACAGAAACCGTGAGAGGATATGCCAATCGGACAGCCTGAACATTTAGTGAGATTATTGTCAAGGTCTATAGTAAAATGTTTGTCTCTGAGTAGTGTTTTTCTGTCTATCGAAATGTATCTTTTGCGAGTTTTGACAATTGCATTTATATTGTGCAGGAATCAAAATGTTGTCTTAGGATTTGGAATTGGGCCATGGGTTCTAGAAAGATTTTTGGTATTTACAAATGTTTTGAACCAATTGGGCTCCAGACCCAAGCGAATTATTCCTGTGTGTGTAGCAAGTTGTGGTCAGAAAAGTTTGGTAGTGTTATTATATTTTAGTAGTTAATTAATAAACTTTATGTTAAGAGCGTTGATTGTATTGATTGCTGTCTTTTTAAGTTGTGATTGCATGTTAGTGAATAGAAAACTGATTGAGTTTTCCGCATTGTCGAGATGAAATAAACATTCTGTTGGACAAATTTGAATTTTGAGATTTTTGGCTGATTTTGCAACATATAGTATTCAATTTTTCTGGTTGAATTTCTCTGGGTTGCAAATGGAGCAGAACCAGATAGCCTCTTTTGTTTGGATGGTGTGAATATCTTGTATGATATATTTTCTGATAGAGAGAATAGAGAGTTTGGAAATGAGGTTTCCTATTAAGGTGGTTCTCTGTCTTTCTTCTAATATTGTCAAGTTGAGGCTGCTATGACTAACTAGGATTGTATTGGAGCATTTTGATGAAATCTTATATGCTGACTTTACCAGTTTGTTAATTTTGATTTAAAGTATGCTGAGGGTTGTTTTGTTAAGAAACAAGGAGAGTAAAAAGTATTTGAACTTCCCCATAATAATCCAGTCATTGATTTGTTGCTTAATTTCTCCTTTCCAGTTGTGTTTAGCTAGTTTTTTGATAATTTGTGATGATGTTTGTACAAATGCTCTTCTGTTAACCTTGTTAAAATTTCTGAGAGAAATTAATGTTCCAAGGTATTTAATGTTTTCATATGGTTTGAGGATTTGAATATGGTGATTGTCGAATTTGATAGTATTTTGAGTCCCTTGCTTCACTTTAATATTGTTAATTATTTTTGTTTTATTTTTATTGCATGTAATGTTATTTAGTGTAAAAAATTAGTTGGCTACACTTGGAAGATTTTCCATTTTTTGTTTGGAGTCTGCAATAAGTGCTAGGTCATCCATGTATACGAGTATGTTGGGAGCCACATATTCTCGAACTGAGTCATGCTGTGATAGTTTAGTAACCAAGGGGTCATAAAAGATAACTCAAGTAATTGGTGATAGTGTTTCGCCTTGCTCTACACCATTGTTGATGATAAATGGATCGGTTGCTCCAAATGGTGTATTGATAGATATTTCTCTGTTGCTTAAGATATTGATAAGAAGATTGTTGATTTGTTTGGAACAGTTGATTCTTTCTAACGATTTTTTTATTGCTAATATTAGAGCTGAGTCAAATGCTTTAGCAATATCGAGAGAAGCAAACCAAAATTTCCTATTGTTAGCATTTGTTGTATGCAAGGCTAAGTATATGATGGTTAAGGATTTCATTATACTTTGTCCAGAAAGGCCAGCACAATTAAATTCTGATAAAATGTTATTATCTTTGAGAATTTTGATTAGTTTTTTGTTGATTAGTCCTGTAAATATTTTTCTTGTGGAGTCGACAAATGAGATAGGTCTAGTGTTACTAAGCTTGTAACTCCAGAATACTTTCTTTGGAATAAGCGTGACAATGGTTTGTTTCCACTGCTTGGGTATAGAAGTGGATTGTAAGATATGATTGAATATCATTGTTATATACTATACATGTTGCTGAAATTCGTAGATCCTTGACGCAATTGACGCAATTATTTGATGCAATTAATTGAGTCACTATTAAAACATATAAATAATTGAGTCATGACGCAATTATTTTTAAGGATTTTGGGAATTGAGTCAACAGCAAAATAATTTACGCCACATGTATATTATATACGCAATTACTTTGTCCCCCATAAGTTTAATAATATCATAGCTGACTCCAGACTTTCCTGGGGCTTTATTCTTTGAAAGCTTGCAGATAGCTTCTTTGATATCTGAAGAGATATAAAAGTTTGTGAGATTGCTGTATATTTCTTGGTTAATTGGTTTGGGGGTATAAATTTCTTTCCATTCAGGGAAATCATTGAGTTCAAAGTCTCTGACTCGTAAGATATTTTTAAAATACTTGTTGATAATTTCTTGAATAAGATCTGAATCATCTTCTAGTTGATTATTAGAGTTATATATCTTGTAAAGGTTGATTTTTGGTTTGATGGTTTCAAGGGCTTTCTTAATATAGCTTTTTGATTTGCTATAGAAGTTCTCTACCATATTTTCTAGACTTAAACGAAATTCTTTTGCTAGTTCTTGCTGGAAAGAATTACCAATTCTTGATCTAGAGAAGGTATAGGTCACTAGTTGTTCTTGAGTTGTATCATTGTTTTATTGATTTTCTTGGTCTGTTTTTAAGTCTAAAAAAAGAAAATTTTTTGTAACTTATAATATTTGATAATATATATATATTATTTTGATTTGAAATTTTTCTTATATCAAATTAAAGATATCAAGAAATATTTAAAAACTTTATACAATATATTAATTAATAAAAATAAATTAAAGATTTTTACTTATCCTCATATAATTAATTGCAAAAAAATATAGGAATTTAATAAAAGTTATGATTTTTATTATAAATGACTTTTACAAAGATAATATAAGAAATTCAAATTATTTCATTATAAATAAAGATGGGTCCCTAAACCATGTGATGCTAAATGTCACCTGGTTTAGGTTATATGTAGATCAATTCAGGTTATAAAAATTTAATAATCGAAACAGGTGACAAATAGTCATCACCTGTTTAGGGACCCATCTTTAATTATAAATAATAAATTAATTATTCTTTATAAAGAATGAAATAAAATATACTGTATATAATTTTACATATTTCTAATTAAAAAAAAATTACAAGTAAATAAAAAAACATTTAAATGTTGATAGTTTTATAAATTTAAATTATATACAACTAAGATTAGATCTTTGTCAAACAAACAATTACTTTAATGTTGTAATGCAAAAAAAAAAAGTTCATGAACACATTCACAATAAAAGTTAATATAACAATTCTCATTCATGTAATAACGAAAATAGTAAAGTAGCAAATTTGTTTAAAATTTTCCTCTTTAATACAATTTAAAATTTCTTGGCAAAACACCGGTAAAATTACAATGATGTTAAAGTGAAGCTTAAATAAGGAACAGATAGACAAAGTTAGAACAAGGTATTAATTTTGGTTAGCAGCTTTTCTTGCTTTGACCAGTCTCTTTTGCCGCTTTATTTCAAATTTATCTACTATTAGTTTCTTAATGTTATGGAATTGATCAAGTGCATTCCATTTTTGACAGAAATCTTCCACGGTAGAATCAATATTAGAATCCTAGCAGAATGAATGAAACGCAATTATGAGATATTCTAAGAAACAAGTTTTTTTTTTAAAAAAAAAAAAAAAAGTTACCGATGTTATCGATAATTTTTGAATACCGGAATTCGTCGCAATATGAACACTTGTTGTGAAAACGTCTGCTTCATTATTGGATTTTTTTTTTTTCATTTTTTGAAGCTTTTTTTCCATGATTCCTCTAACAGATTCAAAACTATGCATTATATCATTATTTTGACAGAATTGTCTCGCAATGGCATCAATATCAGAGTCCTAATAGAATAACACTTAATAATACACAAATGTGATATACCGAAAAATGAAAATGAAAAAAAGAATTACCGGTGATACGGAAACCTTTTTTTTTTCACCAGTAGGTGTTTCTAATAAGAAGTTGATTTTATTGCTCCGTTCACCAGATGGGGTAACATCAATATCTACCGACGATCTTGCTTCGGATCTAGATGGTTCGTCCTTACCATTGTTCCATGACGAGTTCACATTTTCCTTAACGTCAAAAGACTCGGGGTACGAATTCATAGAAGCAGGCAAAGAATGACTTTGATTGACGTAAGCAGAAGCATCTGATTTTGACTCATCTGCTCTGGTAGTAATATTTTCCATGATATTAAAAGACTCAACTTCGTCTGGTCTGATTGAACTTCCGTTTTCAACTGCGGAAAAATGATTTTCATCGTCAAAACAGAGTAAATTTTGTTCAATGTCACCAACTTTCTTCACCGATGTTGTCGTATTCGGAAAAATATCACTCAAGGATTCAAGGTAACTATCTTTACTCGAGAGTCTCGAGTTGCGCTGAGTTGGATATTCATTATACTGACCCAAATCGATCAGTAAGTCTTGTCCATTGTTCTTTTTATTAAATTCGTGTCCTATCGAATTAGAAAGAGCGACACTCTCGTCAAGCCTATTATTTTGAGTCAAGTCACTATTGGATGAATCTGATAAATCTATGCTTATGTCTTCCCTTTGTAAATTACTCGATTTGACAGTGGGATACACGCCATCTCCCTTATTGGATGCGATCGACAAAATCTCTTCAGAATCATCTGAAGAGCTCTTCGAGTCAGAAATGTCAGGAATATCAAAATTCATAAGATCACCAGATTCCCTACCTGGCTTCGGTAAGGAATTTTGTCTATTGCCTTCATGATTCCATTCGGATTCCGTTTTCCACCGAGGATTACCCAAGCGTTCTCTCGCACCGTCCGTGCTCGATCTTGATCCATCATAATTTGTTATAATCTCCTCCTTTTTGGTGAATTCATCTTCATTTGCACTATCAACTAGTTCTATAGTAATATCATTGTTGGTCTCAAAACCACGTCCACGTCTTGATTGCTCGCGAATTTTATTAAAATCATCATTAGAAGACGAGAATTCTTGACGTTGTTCGGTACGTTGGGTTCTCTCTACTTTTCTAACATTCGAGCAAGTTTCATTAACTTCAAAGGTCTTTTTCTCTGAAATCTTTGTTTCTTCGCTGACATTTACCCACCTTCCATTTTGGTTCGACCAATAAACGGTCTCTTTTTGTTCTTTGATCAATTCCCAACAGTAACCTTGACGAGGATCATCCCATGGAATGTCCCTGGATGGAGTACCCCATCCATTATCGTTGCCCTGACGTTTGGCAGAGGTTTGAGTAGTTTTCAATTGATTCGATCCCGAAACGGGATTAGGTTGTTCACGTTGTTTTTTTCCTGCAACGGATGACCAATCTTTAGGAGTTCCCCAAGGTGATGCAAAGTTAACGTTCCGAACATTATGTTCATTATGTTCGCCGGTTTCAACATTTTTAGATGAAAAGGTAGCAGCCTCGGAAGGTGTGGGCCATTTTCCGTTGTCCTCTTGACGTGATTGACTATTTCTCGCGTCAATCGAAGTATAATTCATTTTACGTGGGGTGTCTTTTTTAGTGGGAGTGTCCGTTTTTTCTGTTATCTTTGTAACTTTGGTTCGTGACCAATCATCATCTCCAGCCCAATTGTGATTTCCATCACCAGAAGTCATTTGATTTGATTCATCCGTGAAACCCATTTCCTCCCATCCCCCTAAATCACCTGACGTATCCCCCAAAATATCATTATTCCACGAAAAAGGGATGTCATCTCCTGTTTCATCAATATTACTGTCTGTTGATCGCTCCTCAAGACTTAATGATTGAAATTTTTGTTTTACATCATTTACAGATTGTTTGGAAATTTCATTGTATCCTAATTTCGGTGACGATGAACTTTCCACAAGAGTATCTTGTTTCACATTGGCTTCTAATACATTTTTTTCTGAATCTTGTGAAGTTAAAGCCGAATTTGATATCTGTGACCTAAGTATAGTTTTATCCTGACATGTTTCTTGAGTCGGTGATTTGAGTTGGTGATTGTCTATCATAGAAAGTGGAGATTCAACAACAACGCGAGGCTCATGTTCTGCTATATTTCTTTCAGGTATCTTGATTTCATTAGGAAGGTAATTGTTTTCGTTGCCCGAAATTTTTGTTATCTCTGTCTGAGCATGATCAGGTTTATTCACGTTATTTGTTGTGCTTGGACAAAATGAACTTTCTTGCTCAGCATCAGAGGAAAATTTTCTATGCGAACAAGGAATCTTTATGCTAATCTCAGTCCATCCACTTTGTGTCTTTTTGATTGGAGATGGCTTCACCACTGTGGGATATGAATTATGACGACTTACTGAAGTCCTGGTTTCACTTGAGTCAAAATCTTTGGACTCGCGACGTGGAGAACCACTATACGCGCTATTTAGTGAGTCTCGTCGACCAAAATTTCCATGAATGTTCTCTGCAGATGAAGTCGAACACTCTTTTCCAATCACTTTCTTGATTGCCCGATCCAGCGTATCAAATGATAAATTTAACTCCGCGGCCAATTCGGAAAGCTTGGTTTTGGGAATAATCACGTCTCCTTCGTTTAGGTCGAGATCATTCTGAGGAGTTTTATGTCGAATCAATTTTTTCAAATTTTCACCCTCGATTGTACAGCTTGGCAAGCCACTCAGATGCTGATTCGAAGATAATTGTTCGCTGGAGAATTTGCAAACGAAAGTTTCTAATATCGATGGAGTGTCATGGAAGGCTATTTTTTCAAGTTTGTCAATGTTACGAGCAAGCCAATGAACTCCTTCGGGAGAGAATGATCCACATGATTCCACTATAAACTGAGTGAGTGTTTTACGCGAATATCGTGCCAGAAATTTTAGACATTTTTCAGTAATATTGGGACATTTTACGACATTTACAACCCGTAAATTTTTAGAATTACGTGAAACTCTTTCAATTGAACGTTCTGTCACATGTAAACATCGTGAAAGTCCAAATACTTCCAACTGTTCGCAATGGGTCGATATGATGTCAATGATGTCATCATTCACGGCCAAATTTTCCAGCAAAATAGTATGCAAGTTTTTACTCAGGGAACCAAAGAATTCATCATCTGGAGTTAACTCACAATTATGGGACTTGCATCTCAAGTCCAAATGGCGCAATTCTTTCAAGTTACAAATTACTTTTAAAGATTCTATCGTGATTTGTTCGCCCGATAAGGAGATTGTTTTCAGATTATAATTGGTGTTCACAAATTGTGCGATGTCGCGGTTAGTAAGCCCAGGGCAGTCTTGTAATATCAATTTATTCAATCGAGTCAATTTTTTGGCTAAATTATGGAATCCACGGGTAGTCATTGATTTTGTGCAAAGTTTAAGAGAGTTGAGGAGTTCTTTCTTGTTCGCCAATGCTTCCGCAAAACTATCGGGTAGATTGAACGTTCCATCCAGATCCAATACACGAAGATCGCATTCGGAATTAACGATTGAACTAATTGCCGTTCGAGTTAATCCCGTATTGCCAATCACGCAAAATTCTTTAAGTCCCGTACAGTGTTGAGGAAATGCTTGTATATCGCTGTCTGTTAGGTTCCATCCATAAACCTTGATACTCGATAGATTTTCACAAAGTCTGACCAATCGCATAATTACATCGCGCTTGGATAACACACAAGTACGCATCCTCTGATGTTCTTGGCGTAGAGACTTTAGCACGGGCTCAAATGAGTTTACGACAGCATTTTCGGGATTGCATAGGTCCAACACGCGAACCCTAAGAGCACATAACGCCGATCTCCTAACTACGGCATCAAAAGAATGAAAAGATTCGGGAGTGTTGAATATCGGTTCCGACCATAGTGAGTTAACAGCTGTAGGTGACCAAGCCTTCAGCACCAGGCAAAAGTTGAAACGATCATGTTGCTTTCCCAGGTGTTGCGATATACATCTTATAATATTTTTTTCTTGGGCAATGCGTTCTATGATAGTGTTATCTAAATTCGACGTTGGGCGAGTATATAATCCTTCGTCCACTTCATTTGACATTACGAAAATTTTTCCGGTCGTTTCTGAAACGGTAAGCAAAAAATTTTTCAATAGGCCGTGGCAAAATCAAATCGGAGAAAAACAGATGATCACTTCTAGATACGTAGGTACCAATTTTTGTATAGTTACTATAGTTACACGAACAACCTGCAAATAAAAAACGTATTGTGACGTCATCATTTTTCAAACCTTATTTTTCTAACCCTTGAAATTGAATCCAATATGAATAAATAAAGTTAGTCTTTACTATGCATATCGTATCCCATATAGGTTCAA